TATATATATATATATATATATATATATTTATATTTATATTTATTGCTTAGAGGTGGCATATTCTAACCAATAAACTAATATTCCGACCACAACAAGATAATGTAGTTTTATAGATAAAAATAAGATTATCAATTAGTTAAGTGGTAGATGGTTTGAGATGGACAAATCCATTAATCAATCGATCCCGGCCTGGTTTCAATCTCGACTTCTCACAGCCTTAACTAGTCCTTCCATAACAGGTCCTGACTCAAATTAGTCTCTTAATAATTCCTTAACTAGTTGTAATCAGTCCGTCAGGCTCAACTACATAACTGGTTCATTTTTAGTTTTATTCTATTATCATATATTAACTACGTTTTACAACATTGTTATTAACTATTCTTCCTCTTGTATTATTTAATATTAAGTTATAAAGTGTTTGGTCCTGTAATAGTTCTTAGTAGCTGGGTTTTGAATGGTACATCTATGATCAGTCGAATTAAAAAAAAAAATCTCTTAATTGGTCCAGTTCAACTGGTTCCAACCTATCACATATCATTCCACCTATAATCAGTACTTAATAGGTCAAAACCAGTCCTTGTCCGGACAATTTGAGTCTCTATGTTTACATAATAAGAAGGGTCTTGATGGATTGTGATTGTAGTTTTTTAACGAGTTGGATCCTTCAATAAATTAACAAGTTTGGTCCCTATTATTAATGACTTGTCTCATTAAAAAAATACAACCACTCAGGACCCTGAATGTTAAAATTTTAAAATATAGACAGAGAACTGTTGGAAACATCAAACTAGAGGGACGAGAATTGTAATTTACTCTCAAAATAATGTCCTAGTTGGCTTTGTGTTGAATGGATTTACCATTTTTTGGCAGCTCCTCATTGGTTCTTTGTTTTACTTTTGGAAGGATCCACGTGTAACAGTAGTTGACCCCATACGTGTTTCACCTTTCCAATTTGGATTTTGTTTATTATCGGATGGCTCCAAATGCGACACGCCTTCATCCAATATAAATAACTACTGTTTTAAAAGAATTTTTGCAATAGCTATCATGTAGATTTTATAACGTCATATTTGATTTTTTTATGTTTTTATCTCTTATTTTTTTAATATATATAGACTTATTTAAGGGATAACTGATTAATTTATGGTAATTGTAAGATTTAATGTGAACCATTCGTTTAAGATATTTAAGGATATTTTTTAAATAAGCTAAAAAGGTAATATAGTAATTCTATTTTTGTCAACTAATCAAAATATTTAATTAATTTTTTAAAATGAAATATTTAATTAAAATTAGTTATTCAATATATCAATTACCTAATATACATTATATTTCAAAGACGTTTATGAATCAAATTGTATCATAGTGATAACGTTTATAATGTTTCACGTGTATCATAATGTATTTTCTTTGTTTTATGAAATGTATTATAGTGTGCATTTTCGTTATTTTTATTATTTTACAAAGGATATCACATTATGTGCATTTTGTATGTATATTTGGGTATCACAGTGTGTCTTGGGTGACATAAGGTTTATCGGAATAAGTTCGTCGAAAAGATGAGAGAAGAGAGAAAATATTTATAAAATCCCTAAAATGTTCTTAATTAATATTTTAAGTTAAAATTATTAATTTTCTAATTTAACATTTGATTTGTGGTTGAGATTGGATCTCACGGTTAATACAAACAAAACAGTTCTAATTTGACTATATATATATATATATATATATAGAGAGAGAGAGAGAGAGAGAGAGAGAGTTCTCGTTTTTACCAGCCGATTTTCGTAAGATTCGTAAGACCACAAAAATTACATTGAATCTTCACAACAAAACATTGTGAAGACATAAAAAAAAAAAAACCAAAGGTTTACCTTCACATTATTTTTTGTAAAGGTTCAGTGTTAATTTGTTGTCTCATAAATCTCATGAAAATAAGGTGATATCACATTTGTACCAAATATATAATTTAAATTGTTTCTTATCAATTTGTTTTAAATATATAATATTATGTAAGATTTAGTGATTTGTTACCATAAATCATGCATTAAAAACTTTGTGGCTCTTAACACTTAACCTCAAAGCCACGTCTCATGTCATCTAGAATCTTGATTATAATTAAAAATAAAAAAATTAATATTGATATATATAGTGGGAAAAATATGTAAATTTTTCCATATTATTTTAATCCAAAAATAGATTACAGAAGTTATGTAAGGCCATTTACGTAATTTTCGTTAAACTGGTAAATAAGTTTAAAAAATAAGTATAAAATGGATTAAATATTCCAAATAAGTATTTTAGTCAATTTCTTAAAATACTTGCTTTATGACCTGAAGCAACTTCCATAAGTATTTAATGCATCTTGCGTAGCTTACTAAACATCATTTGGTCCTCCATAAGTGGAGTTAGACCCGTGGGCCGTGGCTTCTTGTTTGAATTTTAAAATCTATATTATATATAAAATATTTGATAAAAAAAATTCAAAAATCATTTTTTATGTATGAAATACTGTCTATTAATGTACGTTACTTAAAATTCAAGATTATAAGTAAATTGTATGTAAGTACTACTTATTAAAACTTTATGTTTGAATTTGTATAACTAATTGTAGATGAATAATAATCAAATATAGTATAAACAGAAATATTTTTTCAAAATTTTATGATATTTTAATAATTATATTTTATTCAAAAACGTTATCGTTTTTTTCAAAACAGCATAAAATCGTATTATAATATCGACGAAGACAAATAATAAATAAAATATTAAAATCAATATGTATTTCGCTGCATTATACGTGCATCTTTCTGGTAAATCAAAATGCAAAAAAAAAAAATACAACAAAATTTGTGTTAAAATTTTGGATGATACTTATTGTTGTTTTAAGATGACATAAAAGAATGAATATTAAGAGGACCTTAGACTTTTTTATTTCATTTTAACTGAGATAATTAATATCAGATAAAAAAGATTAAGCTATTAAATGGTCTTTAGCTTAACAGTATTTGGATTGCTGGTAGAGCTATATCTGACAAGAGGTCAATGATTCAAACCTCTTCAAAGATGAGAGAAGTAATTAAGTTCATTTGTCGTATATAAATATGTTTTTTATTAACCTGGATATCTAACCCGTTATGCGAGTCGACTAATCTCAGGGCGATCATCTGTTTTGCAAATAGCACGGAATCACCGCATTTGAACCTCCGTGACCACAAGATTTTTGTTCCTCCTTGGATTTGAACCTGAGACCTCCTGACACTTTTGATCTTTAGAGCCAAACTCAAACCAATCAGGTACCACCCTTGTGGTTCGTATATAAATATTATATACTTCAAAAAAACAAACTTTGGTAAGATCGCCTTCTTAGGGCCTCTACAACACCAATCCCATGATGGATGATGAGGAAAATCACAGTGTCCCGAGACAGGTGAATGGTGCCTAAATTCGAACCTAAAACTTATGGATTTCTAACTTCTTGTTACTAAGACAACCTTGTAAGAGATTATCATTCGGTTAATTGTCTATAATATAGTGGTAAACAACTTAGCAATAGAGTTATTGAGGAGTTATCAGGTGCATTTGCCCTGAAAATGGCAAAACAAACCGTACATGACAGAACCCTATACTCAATACTGGTTTGATCGGGAATCACCAAGTTGATCAGGGACCCAAGGATGGGAACTGGGACTGAGGATCATGGATTGGGGGTCCTTGGTACTCTTTAGCTGTTACCATCTCTGACTCTGCCCCCACCCTTCAATTATCATAGTTAACAAGAGTCTAAAATAAATAGCATTAAATCATCTATACTATCTTATAAAGCAAATTTAACAAAAGTCTTAAAGTCTTAAAATACTAAATGATCAATATACCCTTTATATCACTTTTTCACTTTTCAACCCCTCCTCTCCTCATATACATTCACCCCCTCACATACACTCACCCTTTCACAATCGATTTTTTTTAAATTATAATTTTAAAATTTACAGTTTATACCCCTATAATTAGTTAATTAATTTACTTTACGTTCTTTACTTTTAAATGTTTCATTTTAAACATTTATCAAATTAATATACATAATCGTATATCAATTAAAACATGTTTAAAAAATATATTTTTATTTTAACAAGTTACACCATTATAATCGTCTCGTTAATACCTTCGAAATGAGTCCAATATTGAATAGTTTTTTACTTAATTATATTATTATATTATATATATACTGTGAAAAAATATTTTTAATATTTACGATTTATACTTTTATAGTTATTTATTTATATATATATTATATATTTTGGGGTTAGGCTGTCCAAATTGCACTGTATAATATGTTCTGAATTAATATGTTCTTGGATTTTTTTGAAATATGAAAATATATATGCATGTATTAATTCAACCTTAATCTGAGTTCTGGACAAGAAAGAGTGTAAGTAGTTGAAATTTCATTCTAAAACCCATCTTTTTTGTCCTTTCATAGTTTATGATCTGTTAAATTTGTAGTTTTCTTTATTGGTTTTGAGTGTTTATCTTAAAACTCAAGTTTTTTTGTTCTTTTGTGTAAATCGAATACATTCGTGGAGTCGTTTAAATATGTTGGATTTTAAATATATTATATTTTAAACTGTCATACAATTTTTTTCATCGATAGTCTGTAATTAGAACCATAACTCTTATTTATTCAAATTGTACTAATATGTAAAGACCAAGTGTAGCATATATCATCGTTAAATCTTATCTTATAAAACCAGTAGAACTTCAAAATCGTTAAAGTTCATGGCTCCCGCCGCATTGCGCGGGTACACAACTAGTAAATTAAAAAATTGCTCCTAAAAGAGAAATAATATACTACTTCCTCCGTCCCAAAATAGGTGTCTACATTACTATTTCAGTTTGTCCCAAAATAAGTGTCAACTTTCAATATTAAATATTTGTTTTCCCATTTTATCTTTAATTATGAGGTGGATAACATTTCTCTTTCTACAATTAAAGGTAAAATCGTTTCTTTCTTAATTAAAAAGTGTAATAATTATATTCATACTATATTATAAAGCATTTGATAAAAACTCTTAAAAACCAATTTTTATGCATGAAATATTGTTTATTGATGCATATTACTTAAAATTCAAGATTATAAGTAAACTTTGCATAAATACAACTTATTAAAGCTTCATGTTTGAATTTATATAACTAACTGCAGATAAACATAACAAATAGAGGATAAACATCTTATTTTAAATATTAAAAGATCTAAAATATAATTAGAATAATCATTTAGTTCTAACAAAATACTTAATTATTATGTTTATAAAAATTATATTATTAAACCAAAAATAAAAAAATGAATTAAAAAAATACACAAAAAATGAAAAAAAAATTAAATAGTTAATTTGGTACTAAGATTAAACCAAAATACATCTTATTTTATGAGACTCGTGACCAATTTATGTTCATTGATCAGATTTATAAACTAATGATCTAATAGTCTAAAGTTGCAAGGTGACAATTTTGTAATTATTGAGAAGTCTCGTGGCATTTATGAATATTTAGATCTGACGATTGTAAATCTAATCCAAGGGTTGTGAATTGGTCTTACGGGTCTCACGGAAAACTATTGATCTCACATGATCCCAAGTATGTATATATATATATATATATATATATAGGGTTGGGTTCACGTGAGACCAAAGGTTTTTCGTGAGACCCGTAAGACCAATTTATGTTCATTGATCAACTTTATAAGCTAATGATCTAATGGTTTAAAGTTGCATGGTGGCAATTTTGCAATTATTGAGAAGTCTCGTGACGGTTATGAATGTTCAGATTTAACGATTGTAGATCTAATCCAAGAGTTGAGGATTAGTCTTACGGGTCTCACGAAAAACCATTGGTCTCACATGATTCCAAATATATATATATATATATATATATTCATTTTTTTAATGATAAATTTCGTCCTTTGTAGATTTTTACTTTATACTTTTAGTAAGCATTTTAGCAAATTGTTTGATATGCTTATGGGTTTTGACTCCTAACCTCCTCCCCCCTCTTTCCCCTTTTCGGTGTTTATGATCCCGTAATTGACGTCCATACCATGAATCACATTGGCCGAATGGCTCTCACGTTTTTGGTGTTTTTCTTCGAATGTTTGGAACAGAAGATGATTAAAAGGTGTTGGGCTGATCTCGTTTTCCTCGTTTTTCATACAGTCAATAAAAAAACGATATGTTTTAATTTAAAAAATTGTATCGGTAAATCATATAAAATGTGAACGTGGAAACTTACTTTTGAAAGTGAATATTTATTTGAAGTAAAACTAAAATAAAAATGTAGACACTTAAGTTGAGACAGATGAGGTAATTTTTTTAAATAAAAATGTACTTCCTCTGTCTCAAAATAAATATTTGTACGTAACTTCTTAAAAATGTGTAATTGTTATATTTTTTTATATTAATTAAAGGGTAAATTGCATGAAAAAAGTAACGTACTTTCAAAAGTTTCATTTTGGTACCTAATATGTAAAGTTTTAAGCAATTAAGTACCCGGGTAACCGGTTGAAAACTAATTTTAGATTAAAAAAATTCATGTCACTAACCACGTCAGCAAATAATACTGAGTTGGATACCACATCAGCATGCTAACCGGTTAATGCTTTAACCGGTTACTCGAGTACTTAGATGTTTAAAATTTTTAATATTAGATACCAAGATGAAAGTTTTGAAAATACATTACCCAAAATATAAATCAAATTAAGAGTACGTTATTTTTTCATGCAATTTGTCATTAATTAAATGATACTTTTACCCTTGGTATTGGGGAAAGAAATTTCATCTCATAACTAAGGATAGAATGGGAAAGTGAAAACTTTTTTTATGACAAACTAAAATAGAATACGAAAATTTATGAGAGGGGAGGAACAATTTGGACTTCAGTGGATATTTAGGTGACGTTTACCAAACGCTTACCTGTGTAAGTGCTTACCAAGTCACTTTACTTTACCGAATAAATATGGCAAAGACTAAAAACCTTACCCCGTAAGAGCGAAGGCAAGAATTGAGAATCTTACGCGGTAAGTGAGGACGAGGATTCTTACCATAATTGGCGCTTACCGGGATAAATTATTGCATACGATGCGTTTTAGTGAATAAAATCTTACCCGGTAAGTAAGTGACAGTGTTGAATTTCACCTGCAAGTGCTTACGCGGTAAATGTTTAGGTAAACAGCCCCTTAGTAATAAACAAAGTGTAGGTTTTTATAATAATTACTATTGGAGAGAGTTTTTAAAAGAACATTTCATTCTTTAAGTTCTTGTATAATAATACTCTTCGTTCTTATCTTGAACTTGGTATGAACTGATGTTTTATTTGTTTTTATGTAATTCTTTTTACTTTATATTTTATATAATTATTAATATGTATATATTTACAGCATCACCAAATAAGGTTCTTCTAAGAGCCTACTCTTAATATTTTTTTGTTGTCACATTATTTCCAACTCGTTAAAAGCCGTCAATGATATTTTTTATAAGAATTTTTTTGTGTCTCGTTTATTTTCTGAACATCAGTAATTGTCGTATATTTTTAAATAAATATAAAAAAAAAAACTAGCAAATTGTCAAGTCATACCAACTTTAAGGTAAGAATCAAGATTCTTTTATAAAAACTCAAAAACCTTCGGATCTTTGAGTTCTATAAGATTCTTGGTTTTATCTTAGAAGTTGATATCATGTATTTTAGGTGGATCTGATCCTATTCAATCATCTATTGGATGTTGGATTTTGTCATCCGATTAACATTGGACATCTGATCCAATCCAAATCCAGATCCAGTGGATGATTTGATTGGATTGGTTTCATCTATTGGATGTTACTATTGATTATGCATTGGATCTGATTTGATTCATACAATCTTTCGATCCAATACTCAACCAATTATTCGTATATTTTCTTAAGTGATTAAAAAACAATGTATATAAATATCAATTAAAAAACAAAATTGTAAAATATTAATAATTATATATAGTTATTAATTGGATGTTAGTTGGATGGGGATTTGGATGGTCATTGTATTGGATCGGTTCGGTTTTATTAGATGTTGGACAGCCATCTAAAATCGATTGATCCAATTTAGATGTTGAAATTTTGGATCCAATATGATTGGATATCTGATGATGGTCGATCGGTTCTAATTGAATTGATCGATTAATATTGGATCAGATGATTTTTTACACACTCATGATGATATTATGGCATAAAAAATGGTTAAATAACGATTAATTAGAATAATGAAGCCGTCCTGACAATAAGTTAAATCAGCAATATATAAAGCGACTCGAATAAAATCAGTTGGACACATGCTACCGTCAGTCACACCTCTACATCCACGCCTCGGTCTTCCTCTCTTTTGCACCGCCGCTAACCCTCGCCACCGTTCGCCGCCGACATGACGACTTATGGCACCATTCCGACGTCCTCTGGCGGAGGTTCGAACCTCGAGTACTTATCCCGTGCAAAAGAACGAATAAAAACAGGACTCGGCACACGACGGCCATGGAAGGAGATATTCAATCTACGGTCGATTAACTTTCCTCACGGCGTCTCCGAAGCATATAAACGGATTAAAACGAACACCGGCTACTTTCGGATGAATTATGCGATAATTGTGCTTTTCATTTTGTTTCTTAGTCTGTTATGGCATCCGATCTCGTTGATCGTATTCGTTGTGTTGATGGCGGTCTGGTTGTTCCTTTACTTCCTCCGCGACGAGCCTCTGGTGATTTTTCACCGTGTGATTGATGATCGTGTTGTTCTGACGGTTTTATCTGTTTTAACGCTTGTTTTGCTGCTGTTGACTGACGCCAAAATGAACATACTGGTGGCGGTTTTGGTCGGGATCGTGGTCATCCTGATTCATGCTGTTTTGAGAAGGACGGATAATTTGTGCTTAGATGAAGAAGGTGCTGAGGCAGGTGGCTATTTGGTTGCTTCTCCATCGTAGAAGGTAGTCTCTCGGTTCCTTTTAGTATCAATTATAACTCTGTGGTTGTTAATTTCCAGATTTACTACTGCTCATCTGTGTTGATTCTTGAGTGGAAATGTAATTCGTGATAGTAGGAGCTTCTGTTTGTTTCAAAATTTCAACCATAATTACCTTCTGTACCTATGTGTGTATTCATGAGATTCAATTTGTGCACGAAACTGTAATTCCACTTTCATCTGACAAAGTTAGCTGTCAGAGTTTTATTCGAACATCATGTTTTGTGTAATTCCTTTCGTGAGTTTCGAATTTTCTAAACAGTTAGAGATCGAGCGATGATTATATTCATTAATGAACATTTTCAACAAAATGACGAGTCTCGATCTGAGTAACTCTGCTTTGAAATACTCAGGATCATGAACCCGCATCAACTCAGTGTGCATGTAGGCTTCCAACCAACTCCCAATTAGTTGTTATGATTGATTCATTAACAATGTAAAATGAGGTTTATTGTTAATGTGCTTGTTTATGTTGCTTAAGAGCTTGGAATAGGAGTGGACATGGAGCTTAAGAATCTCATGGAAAACAATCTGTTTGTTCTATTTTCTATATGCTTTTTCAGTATATTGGAGTTCCATATCCACCAGATGACACGAACCATCGAACTTGTATATATCTAGGAATATTTCCTTTCTCTAAGATGGCTCTTTAGAGAAATGGCTCTTTTAAAAAGAGATTCAAATGAGATCCTGTAAGATGTGCCTTAAATCCAAGTCAAAATAGCACTGTTTTTATATTCTATGAGACATGTGTATTGCCCCAACACCTAGCATAGATCGCATCTGATTTTGCGACATTCGATACCATTTTTAAGATAGTTGGTGCGCGACCTGACATCGCGTGAAGTAGATCACAATGCAGTGATGGATTTTTATGTCTGTTTCTAGGGCTTTTTCATTATCTTCTCTATCGCCTTTACTTTAGTAGATGTTACTATTGCCTGTTTCAATTGTACTCCGCATTGAATCTCCATATAAAACAATGTTCATTGTTTTCTTAGGATATTTGGGCAAACAGTTGATTACCGACCCCACCTCTAAGGACACTAATGTAGGGGGGTTTCTTTTTTGCTTCACATAACGGCTGAGGCTAGAGCCTAGAGGGGGCCTGGGATTGAACCTAGGACCTTACTTATATTTGGGTAAAGTCATCCGGTCCTTTGCCAAACTGAGCTATACGTCAGAGGATATCGTGAACTAGCTTTGACCTAGTTTAAGTTTAATTGCAAATCAGGGATTGTTTGTTACAAGAATTCCACGTATTCTCACAAATATAACACACAAGCTGTCAAAGGCATGATTGAACACTGTCAAAATCTGGGAATTGCTTCTACCTTGTGTTCAAGAAGCGGTTTTGGTTCTTTTAAGAATAATATCTTTTTCCCGGATTTCTTGTCGCTTCTCTGTCCACCAATCACGTAAAGCCATCTTATCAATTTGTTGGGGATGAAAAGAAATCATATTAAATAAAATAATGACGTATATTTAGAGATCGAGCTGATGCAGTGGCCCAAGATTTGTTAGCTGCAACTGACAGATATGGCCATATGTTGCATATGTACATATGGAAGCAATATATGGTCATTGTAAGGTTCATTCACAGCACGACTTGTTACAATTAAGAGGAAATTTCTAAGTATTCGAAGCTTTCCATTGATCAAATAACACTGTTCCAACAGAAGATGCCTAAACGAACGTACTCCAATCAAATATCAATTTTACCACCAACTTCACTCTAATCTGGATTAATTTGGCAATTTCAATTTCAAATGAGGAAAAGAATTTGAGTAAATTACATTTTTCATCCCTGTAGTTTATTAAAAATTACGATTCTCGTCTATATGGTTTACGAAATTGTGGTTTTCATCTTTTTGATTTGTAATTCATTGTTATTTTCGTTCTTGTAACATAAAATTTAGAGCAAATTGCATCAAAAAATAACAAACTTTAAGTTGATTCTTATTTTGGGTAACGTATTTCCAGAACTTTCATTTTTATACCTATGATGTAAAGTTTTAAACATTTAAGTATCCGGGTAACCTATTGAAGCATCAACCGACTACCATGCTTATGCGGAGAGTGATGGGATGTAATTGGGTTGAATAACAAATAATACTTAGTTGAATATCACATCAGCATAGTAACCGGTTAATGTTGCAACCTTTTACCCAAATATTTAAATGTTTAAAACTTTACATTTTAGATACCAAAATGGAAGTTTTGGAAGTACGTTGTCCAAAATAGGAATCAATACGTTATTTTTCATACAATTTGCCCTAAACTTTATTGCCGTTTTTGTCCTTATTTACAGTTCTTTGCTTTTTTTCAATCCAACATACTTGGTAATAGCAATTAAGGAGATGAAAATCGCAAGTTTTTAACAAACCATTGAAACAAAAGAATGTAATTTACTCAAAAATTTACATACAATTTGGTTGCTACACAAATGATGAATGGGTCATCAGACCTTCGATCCTGGACACAATCTCTGCTTGTATTTCTAGAAGACTGGTTTCGATCAGCGTTGCTTCCTTTGATTCCTTTGTTTTGTGGAACAAAATATATAACCAACACTACGACTACGACCTGCAGTTTTCTTCATTCATCCATGAATTACAAAAAACACTAACTAATCATGTCGGTCATTAATTGCATACAAAAATAGTTGTTCAGCGCCTTCCGTCTTCACATGAATTAGCCCTTCTCGGTTTCTCTCTTTGCCAATAAGAAGGTCGTGTTGAATCGAGAGAAGGCTTGCCACTGAAACCTTGGTTAAACGTCTCGCTCGTTGGACTCCCGTTGTGTTGTTGATGATCTGTCGTCCATAACCTACCACTCCGGCTGACCACGTCGTGACTTGAGTCCATGATCATATCGCCTTCTAGTATCCGTAGCACCTACATGGAAGAACCCATCATATAAATACCCGAAAGAAAACAGAACAGAATGTTGCACTATATGGGCACCTATTTGATGCAAGAGATGTTGGGTTCTGATCCTACAAACTTACAAAGTGCTATCAACTCTTATATGGCTATACATCTGCTAGGTCGTATTTAAAATTAACATGGGTAGTTTAGTAATTTACCATTCTCGTCTCTATCTCCCTAACTTTTGTTCCACCTATTTTAGTGATGAGAAAACAGATGCATTTTTGTCATACTTACTCCAGTCATATCCAAGGTCCTAAATGGCATGGCAGCGAGACCGAGCCTCAAGCCTTAGGAGCCACGGCGAGGCCATGACGTTTTTTATGGCGATAAATATCTATGATATGTAATATCATATATATATAAACACATGTTCTCTACTATTACTTGATGAGTTAATGATAATAAACAGTTTAAATTAAGTTATATATTAAAAACTAACAAATATAACATTTAAAAGGTAAGAAAAATCAAATATCATGTTACAAAAATCTTGCATTAAGCCATGGCGTGCCGTAGGCTTAACGTGGCATGAGACATAAACCTCGAGTCACGGCGCACCATGACGGCTGTTACAGTGTCTTTTGAAACAGTGGTCATATCTCAATTGTTTGAAACATGGGACAACAAATTTTTGTTTTGTTCAATTCTGCATACAAATTGCAAAAGGAGGAATTTGGCATTAACCTTTTATAGGGCCATGGTATAATTCAAAATAAAGCAACTGGAATGATCAATAAAAAAGGAAAAGAAGGCGGCATAGGGATGATCAATAGACTTTTACTTTACAAAACCTTGTTGTTTATCCGTTTTCACATGGTTTGGCTTTTACTTAGTCATTTCATTTGTGAAAATTGATGGTGAAAAGCATATACAGGTGAAAATGAAACACGGGTCGAGAAAGTTGAAACCAACGGGAAAATATATGGGTGTCACGCCAAGAGGTGGGGTCGGGCCGTGGGGGGAGGTTAAGATGCACAGGAAATTGACCAAAATCGTCAATCTCTTAAACAAAATTCCCATTTTAGCCACTTTTACAACTAAATTCCCATTTTTAACTAAAGTTTACAAATGTGCAAGGCATTTAGGCATATTACCCCTAAACCTATTTCCAGATTATTTTTTACAAAAGAAGAAGAAATTCTTTGCTCATATTACGCCAAAAAAAAAAAAAAAAAACATTTTTTTTAATCAGAAAATCAAGTTTTAGGCAAATGCACAAGGCATTAGCTCTGGTCAAAGTGGCTAAAAATGAATTGGCTAAAAAGATTGGCTGTTTTGGTACACAAACAAGCCATCTAGCCTCATTGTTTTCGTGACAGTCCTTGTTAGCCAGTGAAAATTGTGTGATAGAGAGAAAAACATATAAGAGAATATTACATTTTTAGTCCTTGTGGTTTGTTAAAAATTGAGGTTTTCATCCCTATGGTTTAAAATTGTGGTTTTTTTCCCTATGCTTGGTAATTCATTGCTATTTTCGTCCTTATACAATTTATTGTCCCTGTAATTCACAATTCTTTACTTTTTTGGTCCCTGGTACATAAATGTTGAAATTAGTTCAGGAACGAATATAGCAATAAATTGCAAATTATAAGGACGAAAATGGAAATACGATGGAATACAATAACAAGGGAACAAAAGAAGTACCTGTGACATACGAGGACGTAACTGTGGATCTCTTTTTATGCATAGAGAAGCAGCTTGCAACATGCAATAAACCTCCGGTTCTGAATACGAGTTCCCTAGCCGTGGGTCTATTAACTCGTCAATCGCATCTTCTTCCAACAATGGCCGTGCCTATCGATGATTACCGAAACAAACAAAAATCAATAACAAAAACTTCTTTTTACTCCTTACATCTCTAATCGCATATGAGGCTACGGGGTTGTCGGGTTGGTTTTTCATTAAATCATGTATGGATGGAGTTATCTGTTTGTTTGAGAGGGTTTTCTCATAGATGAAAAGAGTGTTTCTTTTAATTGGGAGGGGAAAGTTTGGATAAAAGAAACTTGGCTTTCCGCATGAAGCTACCCCTAAAAGCTTATTGAATACGCCACTTTCTATATCATTAAGTCACTACCAAACAGCCATGTATAGCTGACCAAATAAGCTGTTTGAATCTCATTAAGCTGCTAACAAACAGGCCCTATGTATCTATATATTTGAGCAAAAAATGCTGTGCGGCCCTACCCCTAGGAACCACATGTGAGGAGGCATTTTAGAGTTGAACTCAGTGGCTGAGGCTAACGAAGGGGTTCAAGTTCATCTCCTAAATGATTCGAACTTGAACCGGTTGTTTATTTTGAACAAAGTCGCTCCGCCCCTTCCCAACTGAGCTAAACATGGGGGTTGTCTCCATATATGATTTGGATTACTAGTCTTTCTTCTAGTTTGATATATCTGATACCAGTTCATGATCTTTAGGGCATCTCCAACCGTACTGCATATTTGAGATTTTGCCAAAGCCTAAGCTCCAACCGTGCTGCAAAAAGAACGGCAAAATGCCACAGATGGGAGAGAAATGGCATATCAGCCGTGTTTTTTGTTCAAATATGCAGTGTGGTTGGAGTTGAAGCCGTTTATGGCGTTAATGTCCCCACCAATTTGGTGTATTTTTTGCTAGGGATGGAGATGGTCTAATGAGTGGTTGGTACTCACCCATTCTGTGAGACATTGTTGGCCTTTGGGTCGGTTAAGATCCACCGCTTTTCGGCCTGTAACAAGCTCCACCAATACGACTCCGAAAGAATATACATCGGCTTTCTCGGTGATCTGCCCGCTTTGTGCATACTCAGGAGCCAAGTATCTAAAACAAAAAAAACAAACAACTGTTCAAAATATATATCATGGAGATGGTGCACGCCAGAAGAAAGATAATCACATTGAAGACTAACCCGAATGTTCCGATTACTCGTGTTTCTTCTCCGGTGTCTCCATCAGGCTGCCACCGTGCTAAGCCAAAATCCCCTACCTTGAAGAAAGGAGTTAAATGGTATGTTTTAGGTTCTTCAGAGTTTTAAAAGTCCATATTTCAAGTTTTGAAAGCCGAGGATAACAAGTTTGACAGATGTCATGTTTTTACAACCATAAGCTAATTTATTTTTTCAATTTTATTAAAAAAACCCTTCTAATTAAGCTTTTAAGGTTTCAATAAGCTTCAGAAGCCTTTTTTACCTTTTTTTTCTTTTTTTTTCTTTCAATTATACCCCTTATGTTTTTCCGGTTACTTTTTCAACATGCTATTTTAGGTCATTTTACATTATCAACTAGTTTCTACTAAACTTGACTAGTTGATCAGCAGCTATCTTTATTAAACATAGCCTTACAACTGTTCTGTATTTTGCAGGCTTGTTGGGTGCAATAACATCTATATCGAAGAGACTATATAACTGTGAATCATGATTGCAGTTTCCCTTAAAAACATTTTAGAAAGTAGTTAAAAGAAGAATGTACCAGAGGTTCAAAATCATGGGTGATGAGGATGTTGTTTGGCCGCATGTCACGATGCACAATGCAACCTACCCTGCATTCTTCATGAAGATATCGCAGTCCTCGGGCAGCTCCGACTGCAATTTTTTGGCGTGCTGCCCATTCTAAAGGATCTCGATGACGTCCTGTGTATATCACACGGTCACTGACAGAGATTAGGCTTACAGTTGCTACAAAAATACACCATCCTGTTGTAATCATAACAAGTTTAAAGATAATTTTTTGGACAACATAGGTTTGATCAAATACATTAACAAAATGACTTCTTTGATTTAGAAAAAAGAAGGGTAATTTGGGATACCATGCTAGCGAAAGCAAGGGTTGTTTTTAAGGGAAATGAAAATTATTTATGATTTCCTTTACAATCCTTACTCTGTGGGTCAGTAAACACAGATCACAGCTCACAGAAGCATGGTATAACGCATAGATCAAATGTTCTAAGGCAGATTTAGATAGCAGCATATAGGAGTGAAAATAGGAGTATGTATATATATTTCTAGTTTAGAAATTACCATAAAGATGAGTGTCCAATGATCTATTGCATATATATTCGTAGACAAGCAGCCTCCTTCCATCCTCAATACAGAATCCAATCAACATAACAACATTCCGATGCTGAGCACAACTCAGTACTTCAACTTCCGAGCAAAATTCTTGATCCCCTTGAGAACTTGCTAGTTTGTGTTGCTTAACAGCCACTGCCTGACCATCTGGAAGAACCCCTCTGTGTACTGAGCCAAATCCTCCTTCAGCCAAGAAATTAGCTTGAGAGAAACCTCCGGTAGCAAGCTCCAGCTCAGCATAACTGAACCACCTTGGAGGCTTTCCAAATATGGGTGCCTTGTGCTGACATATTGAGCACAAGGGAGGTGGGCCAGAAGGTACATTTCGAGACAAAGATATAGCTTCTCTAACATTACCACTAAATTCTACGTCACTTCTATGGCTTCCATGCTCAGAGTCTCTATCAAGCTTAGATAACCTCCTGAACATATCATTAGTTGTGGAAGTTTGAGCTTGTGAACTATATCTTTGTGAACTTTCCTCTTTGTTTTGAGACGATTGACAGCTTGAAGTGATCATTTCCACCATCCATGGTTGAAACCTTAAGCTAGAGGAAGATGATGAAAGATTCTCACTTTCAGAGTCTGAACTCGACTCGAGGAGATCCTGATTCTCCTTTCCGGCTAAAGATTTCTCCTTCTTTAAGGAGCCATTAGTTACAGGAATAAAAAATGGTGATGTTCCCGGATCAGAACTTGAGACCGATGAGGTTCCAGCTTCAGTTGCAGTAAATACCTCGGGACTACTTGTTGGGGTAACAACCGGTCCTCGAATCGAATCCAGAGAAGAGTTCTTGTTTTTCGTTTGTTTTTCAACTGATTGATCTGTCGGAGGCAATGGACAGTTGGCTTCAGGTCTCTTCTTTGGCGATCCAACTAAATTCAGACGAAGAACTTTTGGCTGCAATTTCTTCATTATCACAATGTTGCATTGCAAGTCTTCCATACATCGCTTTTGTTCGTGTTTGAGCTTTCTGCACAAAATGGATTCCCTAAAAAGTAAGTGAAAGCTACAAAAGAAATAAAGTCGAAATCCTTGGAATTTAGTTAACATACTTGTCCAATACAACCCAGCTAGCTTGAATTTTCTTGGCCTCTGCCGCTACTGCTCCACATGGCGATCCAGAAACAATTTTTATCTTCACATTTATCTGTAATATAATCAGCAGAAGAATAAATGAGTTATTAACCAAAAAGTAAAATTAAAAAACAAGCAATGACTAACCCCTTGGATTGAAAGACGAAAAAACCTTATTAGGATCATATACATCATGAAGCTGAAGGATCATTTGGGAGCAGGAATCTGTAATATCAATTTTTTGGTCTGAACTTGTTCCTGTGTTTGACCTCCGGTGACCACTAGCACAGTCTCCGGTAAATCTTGGAAAACCCCATAATTTTCTACCTGCATTGGAGGAAAAATGTGATTAACTTGATGATAAGAAACCCATTTGCACTTGCAAAATTCAAATTTGTTGCAATCTGCTTGACAACAAATATGCAACGACACCGTGTTGTGGTTGGGAATTGAGATGATAGCAAATGTGTTGCGGTTGTAGGATTAAAAATTCATAAAAGCGTGCTGTGTGTGACAATCAAGAAATTATGTTACCTGAACTTTGTCCAGGCATAACCACAAGCAATGTGATGCAGTGCCCTGGTTGAACCACATGAGTCAAAGCCCAAACCAAAGCAGTCTTGGGGATTTCCTTAGACGCCTTCACAGCAACAACTACCTTCTCAGCAGCATCCGATCCCTTTTCCAGCTTCTCCATGTTCTGTTCTCTGCTCATTGAGCCCAGAAATTAAAAAGAATAGCACTCTCGAAGATTCCTTCTTCAATAGATCCAACCCGCCAAATATATAGCACCAGTTCCCATAATATCTTCAGAGGATAACAGCGGGACATAAGTTGCAAGTGTTTCACATGAAACTTTAACTAGAAGAAAACCCAATTGCATTATTGTGTTTGTCACTCGGCCCCCACCACAAGTTTTTGATTCCTAACAAGTCGTACAAGTAGAAAAATGATAGCTGTTCTGTAACAGCGGTTTAATTGAATACCTCCAAAAATTAGGGGAAAGACCATTTTGACTGGCAACAATTCACCAATATAAAGGTTTTTTTTCTAAAAATGAAGAACCCTTGGAAAGGAATCAAACCAGGTGGGGGAGTTCGTATTCACCCTATTTGCTATAGGATATTCCGGATCTATAATGTTTCAAGCAAATGAATCCAAAACTAAAATCTCTGAAATCTGACCATAATTATCAAGCAACAGTTTGAATCACATGATATACGACACAAACAATTGAAGCAGTGTTCTTACAATCTTCAAAAGTTGAATGTGGCCAATGAGGAAAATTCAGCTCATTTGAGCTCGTTGCCCAAAATGCAACGGATCTATTCGAAACTCCTTTATGATCTGAATTTGGAACTCTGCTACCCCACCCTATTCAACAAATTAGCGAATAGAAATATAAAAAAGTCGAATGTGAATCCCAAATCCAATCAGAATAAAGTTCACCTACAAAAATTAAGTACTAGTGAACACAGTATCAAATAAATCAAACAAATAACGTGGCAATCAGAGTTGAAACTGCCTCTGTGTCCGTAGCTTTCACTTTAATGCAGAGATGACTCAACAGTGTCCACTCACGATCGCCTCAATCCCTCAACATCCATCATATATCACAATTCCCACCGTATCACACACACATTTAGATAAACCAAACACGATGCATCACGGATTCAATTTGATACCGAGTTGAGACATACAAACAAAATACAGCAAATACTTGAAGAGATAACTCAATGTAACGAACGTACAACCAAGCAATAATGGCAATTTCCCTGCCAAAAACAATAATACTCTAAAATTTCTATTTATATCGATGCTAAAAAATCACGAGTAGTCGACAAAAAGCAACATCACTAGGTCAAGATCAAAATTTCAAAAAAAAAAAAAAAAACAACAAATACATATGGATATGAATCTTACCGTCCTGTAACGACGATTCAGATTGACGAATCTGAAAATGGAGTGAAAACCGTTATCTGCTTGAAGATGTGAGAGATTTGAGTGTGTGATCTTCACGATTTTGCTGAATTTGCTGGAGAGATTTGAGTTGACGAATTACACTTGATTTTGGACAGATTTTGGGGACTGACCTTCTTCGTTTTCAGTAAAAAACTACCCTTATCGAGAAACATGAAAAAGGTTGATTAATTAAATACACACCTCATTTCACTTGCGACAAGTTCTTGTCGAAGATTCAATATTTTTATTTAGACCCCCTGAATTTCTACTATTTAACATAAATAGTCCTTTTTGTATCTAATATTGTAATAAAAGGTTCCTATAAAATGTGATTTTCAATAAATTAAGAGGTCATTTACTAAACACTTACTTGGGTAAACACTCATTAAATCACATTACCTTACCCGTTGAATATGCCAAGGACCAAGAATCATATTCGGTAAGAACGAAGGCAATGACTGCGAGTCTTACACGGTAAGTGATGGTGATGGTTCTTATTACGATTAGCCTTTACCGGATAAACTGTTGCATACGATACGGTTTTGGTAGACGAAAATCTTACCGATAAATAAGTGATAGTGTTGAATTTTGTCGGTAAAGACTTACTTGGTTAAGCGTTTGATAAACACCCCTAAATGTATTTTATGGGGTGGTCTCAAACGAGTTGATTGATGTTCAAGTTAAATATGGAATTCTGAGATGGTATTTGTTTCGTAAAATGTTTTTAAAGTTATTGAATATGTCAGAGGAATTGGAATTTGAAATTACCGAATTAATAAGGTTTAGAGCAGACATTTTGGTTTGAATAATATAGCTTTGAAGTTAGAGTGAAATAATGGTAAATTACAAAAATAGCCTTTTTTGTGTTTTCCTAATGAGGGGGTTGTGATAGTGTCCACGGTGGCATAAGTGGTGAAGGCAGGAAGAAAGAGAAGAAGATCCGAGTAGTGGGACAAGGAGGGATGTGATGGGGGCAGAGCAACAGTGGTGTATAGTGGAGAGAACAACTTTGAAAGAAAATAGTTTGGGGCGGGTTGTTGTTGTCACAAATGTAACAAGAAAGATGTAAGGTCGAGACAGGGAGGATGGGAAATTGGGAAGCAGAGTGATGTGAACTGTAGTGACGAGGTGGTGATTAAGAGGGTCAGCATTATATGAAAAAAAAAATACTTGAACGCGAGTATTTTTCCAACGCATGGAACAAAAGGTTTTGAATCAATATCATTTGCAAGTTCTCATGTCATTGAACTTCACATACCAATTTTGCCACGAGACCGAGTGCCTAAGGCTAGGCAATAACTCACTAGTCGAAAAAGACGCAACTGGTCTTGGGATCGAGGGTTCTTTCCTTTGTTGAATCAAGAATAGTCGACTCCAGGTAAATTCCTTCCGGGCCGTGATCTGGAAAACTCCTTCACAACAAAGTAAAGGGGAGTGTTATGACAAAAATAAAAGCAAAAGGGGTGAAAATTGAAATAGGTTGATTTTGAAATGAGAAGGGAAAGGTTAAAAGTTTAGGCTTTGCTACTTCTCTTTATTTGTCTCTTTTAGAAACGGTGATATATTTTAATATAAGAATTATTATTTATTATTTATTATTTTTTAATTTCAAATATAATAATAAAAAATTAAAAAAATCGGCAAGTTTCATGCAACAACTATTTCAAATTTTAAATTAAAAAATCACACAGAAAAATATAAAACAAGTCGTTTCTGTGGGTCCTATTTTACGTGTGCACAAAATAGATCACAAATACATAATTGTTAATTAAATTCGATAAATTGTATGAAAAAATAATGTATTTTAAATTGATTTTTATTTGGATAACGTATTTTCAAAACTTTTATTTTGGTATCCAAGATGTAAAGTTTTAAATATTTAAATACTCGGGTAACTGGTTGAAGAAATTAACCGATTACCATGTTGATATGGCGAGTGATGTGTTATCCAACTTAGTATTATTTGTTGAATCATTAACCGGATACCACATCACTCACCATATCAACATAGTAACCGGTTAATGCTTCAACTGGTTACCTGGATACTTAAATGTTCAAGACTTTACATGTTAGATACTAAAATGAAAGTTTTAAAAATACGTTATCCAAAATAAGAATTAAGTTAATTAAAGTATATTACTTTTTCATGCAATTTTCATATGAGATCTATGAGACTATAAAATTAAAACTTTATAGTGAAACATTGTAAAAGTACAAAAATTACTGTAACTTCACTGTGTTTTGTTGTGAGAGTTTAATGTTATTTATATGATGTTACGAAAACAGTCTAGTCTCACATAATCTTAAATCTATATAATAATTGGATTGTCTAATTCAAAATACTGATATTCCTAAGGTATATCAGAAGGGTATCAATGCAATGTAACTTGTTATATTTTTTATTTTATTTTCTGTATTTATTATTATGAATGTGTGTGTTTTTTTTTAAAAGTAAGACAGGGTTATGTCATTTGCAATTATACTCATGATTAAAATTTTAAAAACTATATATATATGTGTGTGTGTGTAGGGGGGTTTGGGTTCACGTTAGACCAGTCTGTTTTCGTGAGACCATATTTTTACATTTGAAACTTTACAGCAGAACATTGTGAAGGTAAAAAAATCCGAACTTTCACAACAAAACAATGTGAAGGTTACATTCACACTGTTTTACTGTGAAGTTTCAAGTGCAAAAAAATAGTCACATGGGTCTCATGGAAACAGTCGGGTCTCACATGATTCCAAATATATATATATATAGGGGCATGGTCAAATGGGAACGCTAATTATTTAAGAAAATAAGAAAAACATCGTTAACGTACAAAATCATATATGATTCACGTACAAAATCATAGATGATTCACACACATATACACACACACACACACATATATATATATATATATATATATATATATATATACTCGTGTACAAAATCATACATGAGTCACACACACATGTATATATTTACATACAAAATCATACATGTTCAAAAGTTGTCTGCTTCCATTTTCTTGACGTTAATGTAAAATCACACATACAAAATCATACAGGTTCAAAAGTCGTCCGCTTCCATTTTTTTAATGTTAATATAAAATCACATATGATTTTGTACATTAACAATATTTTTCTTGTTTTCTTAAATAGTTAGCGTTCTCTCTCTCTCTTTATATATATATATATATATATATATATATATATATATATATGTATATTGATCCCCCTCTCGCTCTCTAAATATATATCAATATGAACGTTAAATTATAAAAAATATTGCGATATTTTAAATTAGAAAATGATATTATAGATAATTTAGATTTTTTAAATTGAAATTTTAAAAAAATCTTGTCAAGATGCTCTGGTCTCATTATGATCTCTACATCCCCAAAACAATACACTTTCACCGTAAAAACGAATTTACCAAAAAGTACATGAGCAAAATTGATCCTTTCACTCATAAAACTTAACATATACACAGGGTATAAATGTAATTTTACAAATAGACAATAATATATACCTCTTTAATTACAAAAAATCCACCTACTTAGCCCCCTTTCTGTTTTGCAAGATTTGAAATCCCAATCAATGTGGGCAACAAAGACCGTGTCCATGACCCACATTTAATTCCCCATACTACCCTCCTCTTGTGGGACCCGCCCCATCGTTACCCATCTTCGTCATCCTACCTAACGAAAGGTATCCACCACGTACATTTATTACACTTAAAACTTGAATCCGTCGTTAATAAGACGTTTTAACTGTCATACCATCAACTGAAATACAATATCAGTATTAAATAACAAGTCATACTGAACATTGGTAGCCTGACACTCGTCGATCTGGTGACGGTTTCGGGTGGGTGGTTCCAATCCACTTTTAACGGATCGTGTTTCGTGCAGCTTTCAAATCTTCGAAATAATCTATTATATTGATACCCGTATTTCAAGGAAATTTGTTGTTGTTTTTTAAATAATTGTATTATTATTTTAGTTTACTAAATCAATACAAATATATATGTACATATATATATATATATGTGTGTGTGTGATTTTTTAAACTTAAAAATAATTTAAAAGTAAATTGTTTTTTATTTAATTGTTTAAACCTTGGGAAGTTGATACATGTGGAGTTGTGGAGTAGATGAATAAGAGGGTAGGACATAGTTTTTTGTCTTTATTGAAAATTTAATTATTTATTAATTTCAGTTTTCAATATAAAATATTCGGCAAAAAAAATTATAATTTTTTTAAATGTTAAAATTTAATTGCATGGATTTGGTATATATAAGGCTGTTCATGTAAGAACTAAAGAAAATGACACGTTTCAAATGCAATTCATTATATTTGTATAATTAATAAAACCTAATTAATTGAGATATTTATGGAAATTATGATTTAAATATTTATGGAAGATGAATAAGATTCATTAATTATGATCAACACTTTATACTATGAAACAATCAAAACTTTTATGAAATCACATATTCATCAAATTAAATGGACGGTTGAGATTGAGTTGTATTGATTGTACAAATATAAATAGTTGCATAATAACTCACCTAGGTTATATATATATATATATATATATATGCATATATATATATATGCATATATATATATATGCATATATAGAAGAGATGTACTGATAAATATACTCATTGATGGAATATATAGCTTGAAAATATGCATGCATCAAGGGATATACAGGTTATCGGGATTTTTATAATCTCACATTAACCTAATT